CACTCGTAATATCCGTCTTCTCTCTTTTTCGTGGTGCCCTTGTAGATTCGTCGCACTTCAGCATTTACAAGAAGAAATTCTGGGGAGTACGTTTTTGTAAATTTCTGGGTTCCAGCGGAGTCTGGAGAGCAATACGTGCCCGATCGGTCAATTTCGTAAAATTTTGACACTTCTTCAGAGGATATAATGTTTTGCTTTTGTTTTTTTTTACTTCACCTGAATTCGACCTTTTTGTTCTCTTTCGTTCTTGACATCTGCTTAGTAATTGTTAGATGTTGTTGAAGAAGAAACTCAAGACACAGTGGAACTCAACCACTCTAGGCGTCATCATCCCTCTCTGCGAAGTCGTGCAGATGTGGTCCTTAATGTGAGAGACTTAACTCGTGCGAACAGTCGAAGACCTAGGGATCTACCTCAGCAAGGAGGGTAAATTGAAGGAGCATGTAGACGTCGTCCATACTAAAGCTTCTGTTTATTTAGAAATATTCACTGCCCATAATTGGATCACCTTATTCAAGCTTTTATACAACTCTCTCAGTACATTGTCGTGCTATGTGAAAAAATTTATTAAGTGAGATTCGCAAAAATTGGTAACGAGCAAAAGTGCTGATACGGACATGAGATTACTATTGTACGTGTCAATGACCCCGGATGTTGCTTTCATAGAGAATTGACATAATTTCTATGATTAGTGAAGATCGTGTCCCAACTGTTTTCTCACGTGCACCGATTCTAGAATATTCCAAGTCATGCTAATCTTTTCATTTCCATTTAGCTTTGGAGTGTAGCCCTATTTCTGTTCTTCGATTTTTTGCTTTCTGAGCCATGAGTGAAAATGCGTAAAGTTATCCGCCTAAGCGTTCCATTCCCTCGGGGTTGAGCAGTCGGTATCAGATTCGTATGATAGGATTAAAACACTGACTTCTACGTCGGCTGGCCACTGGAATTCATTGTGTAGGCCACATATGCATTCATTACGTCGCTACAATACTGAATGGAAGTCGAATGCGTGAACGCATGCACCAGACGGGACTGATTAATGCCCCAAGACTTTTATTAGACTTTAAGTGGAACTGATTTGGTCGCTTTTCTGTGATCCGTAGTCAGCCTATATTTCTTTTCAGCTAATGATCAACCGTTGCTTTGCAAGAATGTTCTTCAACCACAGTGGGTCTCCTAAGTGGCTCAAGACTGCTAGCTCTCCCATCACTAATCTTTTGAGTGAATTTCGGAGATTTAGCTAGCGGCGTCAATACTACAAACTCTCTCTCCTAGCATTCAACGAGGAAATCTATTACAATATCCACTGACAGCAAATCATGACATCATCATGCGAAAGCGTGAGCCTTTAAACTTGCATGCTAATATGTATTTACCCGTGAAAATAATTGATAGAAATGGAATCGCAAATGTAGGCAACGCCACTAAGAGCGTGGAGGAGCTTTCTTGTAAGTAGTACTGCCTTGCTTTCGATACCAGAAATTCTTTGGTCATGTAAAATAATTTTTTAAGCAATAAATTGTTGGAAAAAATAGCCGGGCAGTTTATAAATGCATGTGATGGTCCTGTAATTGTCGTGGAATCTTTGCCTCGCAATAAACGTTGTCATGTCCTAGGGTAAGACACCACAGATCGATTAAAACTTTGGATTCTTTGCTGCTTGTTTTGACGTCGCCCTTTAGAAAGCACATTTTGTTAATCTTCAGCATCAATCGATGCACACCAATATCGTGCAACTGGATTCTTCAATTCATTTTCATGATAACTTCTCACCCGTTTACTTCTTACACTCCAAAGCCTGACAGACCGCTCGTTCTGCTTCTAACAATTACAACTGCATAAGATATAGTAAGTCAAAATTAGGCCAGTTTGAAAGCTCACGGTGAAACCGAACTTTCTTGCACGCACGAGGAAGTGCGTTATTTTTGACGCTTAAGCCATAAATTGTCATTATGCCATTTCTATTCCACCCGCACGATTAAAGTAGAGCCCATGGGGGAAATTACAAACTTGAAGGATACCTTCCCCATTGAATCCTCCATATTCAGGAAAAGAACGATGTTTCCACTCGTGCCCTGAGGATGTCCTCGGTCCGATGTCGTCGCTATCATCATGTGGCCAAAAAATACTGTGATGAACTTCCACAGACTGCCTCCACTCGCAGTCGACAAGCAATTTGTCGTACACAGCAACTCATGGTGTAGGCGAAAAACCCTCTGTCGTTTGCATTGCATTCTGGTTGGTGCTAAAGCTAAGTTGTTAAGTGTCCTCCAACAAATACGAAAACAACAGTTCCGGTCACAGCATTTACATGATCAAGCCATGATCCCGATAATTTGCTTTGATGCTGATCTAATGTATAGAGTGACATTTTTCTGCCTAAAATTCCAGAAATCGCCTAAGATTTTGCATGCCTAATTTTAGCAAAGGTGTCAATTCCTCTTTGCAGCAAAGATATCAATTACTCGTTGCAAGAGTTAGGCTTTATCGTTGTTTTGGGCAAAAAGAGCAGAACTTTTTTGAAGATAAATTTGCAGTTATCCTCGAATGTAATGGAGATTCTAAATGGCTTAGGACACGTTTTCTTAAAAGCAAATCGAGCGCATGCATCGAGTTCCGTGTGATGCCTAGGAGTTCGCTATTCTATCGAATAAGCCACTGATACACAGCAAGGCAATAACTCGGTCAGCTTACCCGTGAGCCACACCGATATAGCACAGGAAATAACGGTTCCGTAACTTTTCTTCCATATCAGGCTTGCAAATTATGGATCAGCATTTGCAAAGACGTCGGTATAGATTTGCAACGTAGTGTTTTCGCCATGTCTGAAGGGAGCTAGGAGAATAAGTGATTGATTCTTGTGGTGCGGTGAACTAGACCGAAGGATTCTGATGCTTGATCCCAATGACCTCTGAGCCCCTCCCACTCACAACGAACTGTCAAATCTCCGACAGGACTGAGAAGCAAAAGCAACAATCCGATGGTAAGATGAGATTTGTATAAGAAAAGTGTTGTGACATGGGTTGCCTAAATACTAACGCCAAATGCTGTCAAACGACCTTGATTCCTTCCGCAAAAAACGACTTCTCTCAACAGTGTGCGCAAGTGACTTTGTCTCTTGATTTTGTAGCCTACGCATGATTCAGTGATACCTAGGATACTGACTTTCAGGGAATGGTAACAAGGCATGAGGGTCGTACAATGTTGGAGGCTGATACCAGGACGGGTGAGGCAACCAAAAACGGAAACACATTGCCTTGAGCTTTTCCATCCTGGAATGTGGGTTTCTTGGGCCGGAGAATCATGACGTTGTCTGCAACCTGCTGCGTGTCGGACAAACTCAATTTGTGATAGTGGGAGTTTATGGTCCGTGAAGTTTGCTGCAGCAAGATCTTGGCCAACGCATCGCCGTTTGCGCGAAAATTCCTGAGAATAAGCTTTACTAGGCTGACGTTTCGGCGGAGTTGCCTTCTTCAGAGCCTGAAACGATCGTAACATTTTGTGAATATCCGATCAAACGTCTAGTGATTGGATCCACTGGCATCTTCTTCGACTGATGGCGCTAAAGGAGCGCCAATGAAAAGGTAAATCGCACAGCTGTGAGGCCCACGATGCTTAAAAAAAGCAAAACATTACATCTTGTAACTCGACAGACACGATGATTGTTCGTTTGAAACCACTGAACCCTGCATGAGTCATTCTTGATACTACGCATCCTTTCAGACCTGATGCTTCTGACATAAGGGTTCAATGTGCAAATTTGCTTATGTTTCACCTACAGCCATTATGATTTTAGTTTTGAACTTGTGCTTTGTAGGAAACTAAGGTACCTACGAGCCATACGAGCATATCCTTGACCGTTTATATTTTCCTTCTCCAAAGGAAATGGACGCTCGTCACCAAGCCTTTGCTCTCATCATTTGAAGCATGACTCCATCTACCCGCTGTTTCTCTGAAAGGCGCACCTAGACTTTATCTTGTGTCCGTTTTTCCTTTCTTTTACCATCAGAACTCATTTTTCGACATAACCCTCAAAGACGCCTAGTCTTCCAAATGTTATCCAGCTCAGTATGATTGACACGACGGTTTTCCTTTACAATGCAATTCTCGGGAATTCCGTATTAACTTTGACTGCTCACGGTTCTCTTTACTTTTAGAATGTTCCCTTAGCAGACAATGATAATTAAATGGTCCAATGATGTAAATAACTATTCCACCGTGAATCAAAATAGTGTGAATTTTGAGCCAACATCTTCCCTATTCTCGCCATCCCTTGTCTACGCACATTCGAATTTGATTGTGTGATACCCAAGTCAGAGCGTTTATCAGTCTCACACACGAGTCGGCTATAAAACTAATTGCAATCTGGAGCATTTAGAGCTTCGATGATCAGAAAGTTATCGATCCGGGAATCCATTCCTGACCACGGAGGTATGATGGTGCTCCAACTGCCACTGCAGTACCTCCACTAGAGCAAGTTGACAAATAAATAAGCAAATAATAGGACTGGCTGCTTTTCTATGTTGCCCTCTGAGCACTTCTTTTGTCACACTCCTCCTAGATCATTGCTCGGCTGAGTCTTTGTTCCCAACGTTCATCCTATACATATTTTGCTGCTCAGATCCTCGAGACATATCTTTGCCGTGCCATTTGCTTCTCCTCCCGCTCTCAAATTTATCACATGACCGTTAGTAATTGATTACTTTTAGATGCCATATCATTCGTCGAATCTCTACAATCAGATGTATGAGATCAGTTGTTGGCAAAACATCCTACTGCCTCGGATGAGACGAGCCGCACATAAACTTTCGGAGTGCACAGTGTTCTCTATCCTTACATTACCGATACCCGCTTGCTCTCGCTTTCTTAACGGTTTGTGTGTCATTTGAATAATGACTGCAGAAAAATTCTTGAATCCACCGATTCCACTTTTGATACATTCTAAATTTTCGTAAAAACCAGAAATCTAAGGTCCTCATATTTGAAGGTTTCTGAAACGAATGTGGTTGTTGCCGGTTCTACTGAGTCTATCATGCTTCGGTGATGCTCGTGCATCCAAAGATGAAGATGGCCTGCCGAAGAATGCTTCTAATACTCCTGGATATGCGCTCGCATCAGAAATGCTTCTGAAGTCCATAAATTTTTCGGTAAGTCAAAATTTTTTTAACGTGCTATTTGCCATCTGGAAACAGCACTTTCCTTAATCTCTTAATAAATGAGCCATATTTGTTGACCAGCAGAATCCGACATAATGGCGCCTATTCCTCTTTGTATATCTGCTCGGACCGTACTGAAAGTATACCAGTCTTCAAATTGCTTTCAATAACAATTTCCGCTTTCGGTCTTTTCGAAAACCTCGCATGTTACATAAAGTGTCTGCATTGACCTGCCGTACAGGTATGACAGTTTAGCTACATTTGGTCGTTCTGAATGAACAAGTCGTACAGATCGTATCGTATCTACAAGGATATGAAAATAGTTGGCTTATAATTTGTGGCTTGCTGATCAAGCCCTCAAACGCGTTAGGCTAGTTGTAACAACTCCCACAAAACCGAACGCAAGAGGATAATGGCCAGCAGCCTGCAGTTCCACAAGCATTGTTCCTGTTAATCAGCTACAGATCTGGCTAGGTTTTTTGTCAAAATTATTCCGATGCAACTGCGCATCTCCCCAGCGCATGATCGTACTGCAAAGTTCAATGCCATTTGCATTTGCATTACTGTTCACAGCCAGCCAGAGCCACCCTCTTCAGGTGAAAAGTGTGGAAGACTACTCATTCCACTCGCAGGTCACAATTCAGATAGAACATCCGTTGATTGCGGATTCTATCGACTTTAACGGTAGAGCCTGGTGAATATTTAATGAAGTGGATAGTTTGGTGATGAGGTTCGATCGTCTTTTGCTGAATAGATAATCCTATCGGATAATGTAAACCCTCGCAATCACGTTTAGGCCTCTGAAGCCGACGATTACGTCGAAAGGTTAAGCCGTCGGCACCATCGCTCAGTGCAAAGTGTTCCTCCAAAATTTTTCGAACGGCAGAAGAATATTCAACAACGCAAACGACAATGCCGAAGTTAAAACAAGAGGAAAGTTGGAGATTACAGCATTGGTTTTGAAATTAATCTTGAATTTTCCCGACGGGAATGGGACTGTTGGTACACTGGCGTTGAAATATTTACTCATCCGTAAGAGAATGTCAAAGCTGAACAACTGAAAGGAGTGCACTGCTATGAAAGTAGATCTCTGCCACGGGCTACGAGATCATCGCGTAATCCTCATTTAATGGTCATCGGCAAATATCAGCAGTACTTCTTTAGTCTCTTGTTAGTGAGACGTCAGCGCTGGTGAGAGTGCAGAAGGTTGGTTTCTTGGCTGGGAGTGTTCGGGCCCAAGACCTGCAAGCCGCTGCAAGCAGCTTAGCGCGTTTCGGAATATTTTCAGGTTCTCAAATACGACGATTTGATCAAAACGACGACTAAATGGAACGGTTCTAACCAAACGAGCCTGTGAGGTAGGGCAGTAGGGAACATTATGCTTCCAAAAAATTGGGAGATTTTTGGATGCTAATTATTACACAATGCACGATAGTTGAAGGTGTCGGGATTATTGCATTATTAAATAATCACCTCTGAATGGATAGTATGTTTGTTGCGCCGAGGCCATCGTGTTGCTCACCCTCAAGGCAGGTGTCTACCTAGCTGTGGAGTTCGCAAGGGAACTTCAGCGCCTGCCTCCCTTCGAGAGGATGTGCGTAATTCACTCTTCCACTGAAATGAAAATCCTGAACACGGAAGTGTACCATTTTTACCAATAAGCTACTTTTGGCATTCTTTTTCGCAACAAGAAAACCTGATGTTGCTAATTAATCGAAATCTGAAATCGTTTTTTCCCAAAGATTCGCCAAAGTGGATCGAGCTCACCTGTATCAGAGCGTAGTTGCTGTTTCAATTAATCGTCCCACGGAACAGACACCATATTTAGTTTACTTTATTCATAAGTAATAAGCTCCTAATTGTGTAAAACAAGTAAAAACTCCTGGAAACAAAAGAAGAACTTGCATTCTGTCAAAATTTGGGTGAATATTTCAAAATCATGGGGCTTTGTGGACCATGTCGGTGTGTCAAGCTTTGAATAGTGAACATTCATAGAAGGACTATTAATACGATTGGCGGGAACAAGATTAGAGGAATGATGTTGATGGAAGGACTTCGAAATTTAATTGTTATCTGATATGATGTATGGCTCCTCACTCGGTACTTAATATTTCCATAAAAGCCTTAGATTTAGAGGGATCATGGGTCGACGCTAAAGTAAGTGAGTAAATAAACAAATGTAAAACATGAAACAAAAAACCTGAGAATTTCTTCATTTGGCTGACTCACAGTACTGTCGGTCACCATTGACCGATATCGTCCCACGAGACAGACTGGCTGTCGGTCAACATTGACCGACATTGTCGTCAACGTATAAAAGAAGTATTAAAATAGAGAAGTCGAAAGTTTCTATATATTTTCAGGTCGACCCGTGCATGGATTTTTTCGAGTTCACATGTGGAAATTGGGTTGTAGCTAATCCGATTCCTAATCACGAATCAAGCTATACACAGTTGGAAAAACTCTCTGACAAAGTTCAAGAACAGATGAGAGGTGACCACGATTTTCATCTACTGCATACTACACAATTCCGGGATTGATAGAACTGATACTAAACTAGTACAGCCTGTTGGTAGCAACACTCGGCTTGAGAACTCAAAAATTCATGCGCATTTTGTGTCCTTTTCGTGTTTTCTCCTTAAGCCTGTTCAGAGTAGAGTGATCCGGGTGATGATACCGTTGGACTCAGCTCGTTGAGCTCTAGAAACAGAGACCCCAAAATTTCAAAATTGCTCCGTTTCATATTTGCCATGCACTTGACATTTGAAAAGTAATTGCATGTACATGGGGCGCACGCTATAGCTCCTGTAAAAGTCTCTTTAGGTTCAGTTGCAGACCGTGCATTGTCTAATTCGGTCAGCATCTGTTTCTCGATGATCGGTGTCATAGGCACGACATAGCTTGCAAAGCGGAGATGATGTAAAGCCGACCTTCACTCCAAGTCTTCCCATCCCAAATGACGCATGGTGTTCTCGAAAGAGAAAAGTTTGTTCAAGATAGTACCGTCCTGCCAGACCCCTCTCTTCACGTTGATAACGACTTCCTTATAGAATGGCAAAATCCTGGTCGTAAAGCTCTCGTAGAACTAAGCATCCTTATGTATTGAAAAGGAACACCCAGGGCTTCTGTTATCGTTCCTATATCGACACAGCCGTTCCTCTATAAGAGGGCTCTTCAATTCGATGGAAAGAACACATAATGGCATTTTGTAATCTCGCGATACTTCAGTGAGTCTTGCAAGAGTGTGGACATTGCCGATTGTACCTCTCACTCTCCGGGACCGTACCTGCTCGCATGACTGTCCTTCATATAATGTTCTGCCAATCCTGTCCAGGATGGCAAGCGTGAAAAACTTGAAGATTGCAGACAACAGGCAGGTTGAGCAATATTTGCTAATATCTTCGGGATCTCCCTTCTTGAACAGTCCTGCTAAATATCCACGACGTGGGCGCTTTACATCTCGAGAGGTATCCCGTGAAGAGCCTAGCCAGAATTCTGACTAGAAAAGGCGGAACACTCTCTAAGAATTCTGTTTTGAACCTATCGGGCGCCGTACATTTCATCATCGACGTGATGCCATGTCTAATTTGGGAATGAAGGAGGGGAGGAGCGATTTATTCGTTTTCTTTAGGATGGTGGGTAGGCAGGTAGACGTGGCTGTCGAGGAGGTCCAAGTAAAAGTCTTAAAGGATCTTCTCCATTACCCATCGAGATGTTGTTACAGTTCCGCCAGGACGACGAAGGGAATTCATCTTGGTCCTGCAATTGGCAAGCTTTGACCGGTTTTTAAATGCTTTTTCTAGCATCGGCGGCTTCGACTATGACTGCGGCCCTTCCTTCATTCAGATCTTCCTTTATCGCTTCTCTGGATACCCTCGCAATATTGGGCGTATGTTGGTGATTGCCTGCATCTCGCGCTCCTCTCTTCTCTAGATTTCACGCTGAAAATCCTTCCTTGGCCAGTTGTAGACTCTGTTTTCCTAGCTCTAGGGTGAAGATGTTTCACAAGCTGGTTGCATTCTTCATCGATGTCGTCGATAGCGGAATCTTCCCATTTCCTTGCAAATGAAGCGAGGTGGTTCCAGTTGATGAAGTTTTTGGAGCTTCATTTGATAAACTTCACAGCTCTCTATCCACGTATCCCTTCCATGTCCATCACGTATGGAAGGGCTTTTGGAGCTGCAAGTTTCCATGGATAATGTGGGCCGACATGATAAACCCGACAGTTTTTTACCGCGTTCATTCCATTCCATTATGCGAGTCATGATGTGAAGCTCTTCAGCCGTTTTTCTGGTGTTAATTATGGTGTTGAAATCACAAAGGAAGACTTACAGAAGTATGATCTCCTCTGTTAAGCCTCTCCAGATTCATACAAAACTTTTTCGTAGCTTGATGTCGGCACCTAGGTAAGAAGGTTGTTAGAGCTGGGGTTTAGCCATGACTCCTTGCTTGCGAACGTCCTGTTCGGTTTGTCAAGTTTCCTTCCGAATCGATGTTCACGACCAAGTGTGTGCTGGCGAGGACAGCCACAGTAGCGCTCAAAAGTATTTGGTTAAATACTCTCACGCTTTTTCGTTCATAGCTTTTTCCTCAGTGGAGCAAATCGCGCAAAATTTTGATATGTTCAAAAGGCATATTTCACACTATCCAACTCTATTCGACTGTAAAGTAGCCATATCCACACACTTAGAATAAGATATTTATGCGGCAGCAGATTTCGCTAAAAGCGAAGTTAGTGACGTCTGCAGTATTCGCATCTTATGCGTGTTTCTGTTCCCCCACTGTGTTCGGCATGAACGCTCGTACACTTGAGACATGACGAAAAGGAAAGAAGTTCCAGAAGGAACAGCATTCGTATCTTTCAGTTGATTTCGAGTCTGAGATCTTTGGGATATCTGGAGCATGATCAGATTACAGGCTAACAGCGGTAAATATTCACAATACACCCATGCTACAAATGCATAGAAATTTCGGTGATTAGATCCACTAGGAAAGGAGTTGCGACTGAAAAGTACGTCTACAGAAGCTTTTCGCAGAAGACTGCTAGCGCTACTGTGTGTCGCCGACGCCTCTACCGTCGCATGTACAGAGGATTGGCTCTTCTACACCATATCATCAGCATATTCTCACAAATACAGCGTGCAGGGACGATGCCTTCTCGTCTCGGTCAGTCCGGTGATCGTTCTGATTTCCTCCGATCAGCTTGCATCATTAGATCTTCGTCACACGGTTCCGGTGAAAGTGCGTGCATTGAAAGTACAGACGCCATTTTGATCCTTCTCTATTTGTTTTGAGCCACAGATCTTAGCAGCCCCTTCCGAGCAGTCTTACACAGCACTGCTGTATTAGGGTCCCTTCAGGTTAGGGGGAATGAGGCTCATTTGTGTTACAGTTTTTGGCATATGGGTACCTACAAGTAGCTTGCCTAGCCCTGACGTGGTGCCACTTTTGAAACCAAGTGCTATCAGGCTATCCCAAGAAGGGCTGTTTTGTTTCTGGAGACGGCAACAAATCATCTCTCTGATACTTCCCAGTCACTCGAATGCATGCTTTTGATTGAGTCCATGGGCAGGATACTGACTGTGGCCATAAACTCTCCACACACGTGTGCGAGGATACACCTGCCAGATACAGGAGTTATGCGAACAGCACAGCAGGAACAGGGGGTCCAAGCCCTTGAATCCACTTTCAATCTATTGACAAGTACCGACGACTTTTGATCGGCGGTTTACCCCGCCATCCGCCACCTCTGGCCGTCCTATGTAGCCTCGTCGGCTTGCATGGTTCAGTGAGAGAAAACTCTTGGTGAAGGAGATTAGTAGACAATTTAATAATACTTGGGTCGACCCGTGATGAAAAGCTGGCTTCGAAACCATTTCGTGTGGTATGCCTGTCGCCGATCGATTTCTTTCTGGATGTGTTCGGTACCGAAGGAGACCGGTACCATAGTGGCGCGGGATTTGAATTAGTGTTCTAGAGGTACTTTGATTCGCAAGCCGAGTAGGGGCGAGAACTGATTGTGGCTTCAAATAGTGAGTATTTGGATGGGAGGTGAGATCTACAGGAGTTACTGTAGTGGCAGGGAGGAGGAGTAAATTGGATGGGAGTTTTCGGGCGGTGTGGAGAAGCGGAGGCGGAAAGGCGGGCGAGTTCAAGTAACGATTATTTAAATGGAGTAGGCAAGGCCCACCAAGAAAAGATCAGCGGCAGGCATATGGCTGAAAATGGTTTTAAAGCTGATTCCTATTGAGGGCTGACCTTATATCATTTGATAGCATACTTCTCGGGGACTCTAAAGTAAACACTTGAGCTGCAATAAGATCAATGGAAAGAGAAAAAGCATTCCATGATACCGACGTGACTAAATGCGAAGTTTGGGGCATACCAAAGGATAAACTTTGATCATTAATGAGGTGAAGCATAACAGTCTTGCGAAGAGCCGAGAGTTGTCTACGATAGTAGAGTGCCTTCAATGCCGCATAATTAGATGTCTACGAAGAATCCTTCCAAGGATTGGAAAATGCAAAAATCGACTCATTTATCTTGCCGAAAATTGATGGCAAACTCTCAATGAGGCCTGTATGAAGCAGTTTCCAAGGGTGAGGCTATAGTTGCAGTTATCTACAGCCTCTACATCAAAACCAGTCAGCCATTTTCACTTTGCATTCAGCAAAGTCGAGTACGCGGCGCACTCCGGGGCTTTTGAAGTCTTTATCCTCACAGAGCAATGAGCTTCCACAGAACTAAAGTGTGCACCCCACATGCATGTACATGCAATTACTTTTCGGATGGAACACTAATGCATGGCGCGATCTGGAGCGGAGCAACTTTAAAACTTTGAGATAAATGCTTATAGAGCTTGACGAGCTGGCTTCAACGATATCTTCAGCCCCTGGAATACTCCACTCTGAATCGGCATATGGGGAAAATACGAAAGACGCTAGATCCACATGAATTTTAGAGTTCTCGCGGCTAGTATTGTAGCTTATTGTTTCGAGTAGATCTACTTGCAAGAGTCGATTGACATACATTGTATTATATTTATAGTACATATGTTGTGAAATAATCCATACATTGTCGAAATACTCCAGGTTTGTTCGAATCCTCAGAGATGTTCCCCTCAAGGTCCATGAATGCGCTGAAACTTATCTACCAAAAATGTATGGATAAGAAGGAATTGAATAAGATTGGCTCTAGGCGGCTGCTGCAAACCATAGGGGTTTGTTTCGGTTTGTTGCCGAACTAATCGATGTAAACACTTATCTTTTTAACAGAGTTACGGAGTATGGCCGATGATTGAAGGCGATGACAAATTTCGAGTGGAAGACTTTGACCTGACGTCGCTGATGATTCACCTTACTAAAGTCAGAGAACTGCACGTCTTTGTGGCTAACTATCCTTATTTTGACAGCAAAAATGTCTCGAGAAGACTCATTCACGTGAGTACAACCACTCATGAGATCTCGAAGGAAAAACTGTCAACGCACTAGTTGGCGTCTCTTATTTTCCTTCACATCCAACCCCATATGACGGCCCTTCAAGAGTAGCTGATTCGGATATCCTGGAAGGAAATCTTTTGGTCGCCGGATCCCAAGCGAGACACCACTGGTATCACTCGGCGTTACCCTAGGTCACCCCCTGATGTTGTAGGGTGTTTGCATACTATCTTCCTTTTGATGAAGGGTCCTGTCGCATTTCGGTGGTTCTACCAGTTGCACGTCTGCCATTTCAAGCCGTACTTAGGGGTATCTTTTCAGCCCTAACATCAAACAGTTTCATTTGACATCTGATCCAACCGTTTCCGAATGAAGTTAGTGATATTCGATGTAATAGGTGAGAACCGATCTCAATGCGAATAAAAAGCAGCGAAGGAATCGTCCTTTAATGAACATTCAAAGTATCATAACATCAGTTATAACTCACGGAATCCTCGGCGGAGACAGTCAGTAGGTCGGAAGTGCAGTTAACCTAGAGAGATTCTGAGGGCCAAAGCCCAGCCAAGCAACGTCGGGATAGAGCCGATTCGGATGACCGGTGACCTACAGGGGTCGGCACGCCCGGGGAACCCTCGGAGCGTCCTTGCGGTACGCGACAGATCATTTACAAGAAGGTTGCTGCTAATCATTCCTTCCAACAAGTTACTTCACAGAGCATTTCCGCATTATTGCAGTTTGATCAAGCGAATCTTGGTTTGGGAGAGTCGACGCGTGATTATTACTTGGATCAAGTCAAGTATGACAAAAAAATCGAAGCCTACAGGCAGCTCCTTATAGACGTGGTAACTGTTTCCTTTTTTTCTTTCCTTCTTTTCTTTTTTGAAATCCCTCGTTGATGTTGCCGAGGGACTTCAAAACCTTTCAGATAAAATTGATCAACGAGTATGATGATCGCCCCAACAAAAACGAGAAAATCGCTCAAGATGTGGACGAGATCATCGACTTTGAGACGAAGATCGCCAAGATCATGGTAGCAGATGAAGATCGGCGGGACAACTTTAGAAGTTACAATCTTCGGCACCTTAGCGATATGCAGAATCTCATGCCTATGGTGAGTACAATTGAATTTTTTCTGGTTCCCTGTTAGTGGAAGGAAAAGTTGTTCACGAGTTCAAAGCGGAAGGTTTTCAGATTGATTGGTCCAGATACTTCTATTCCATTTTACCCCACTCTGTTCACAAATATATTGCAAACGATCCGAATGTCGTGATCATTGAGATCGATTATATGAGAAGGTTGTTGAGGGCTGAGGATTAGTGATGAATGTTTCGTAATTGTAAATGAGATGAGACGTTATGCTGGCCCTTTCTACTTCAGGATCACAGAGCTACTGCGGTCAACGGACCCTCGAGTCATTACCAATTATGTATTTACTCGTTTCACTTCTTTATGGGAGGAAGAGCTCGGAGAGCGATTCGACGATGTCCTTCAGGTTTGAAATATATCCAATTACACCATTCCAGAATGTCAAAGCTGAAAAGTTCTTATCGCTAACCTTGATAATTAGTGCAGTCTTCGTTGAAGCCTTTGGTTCAAGTAATGAGCAAGACGAACATCTGACGAACGATGGCCAATAAAATTCAGCAGAAAATGTGCTTAAAAATGAGCAGACATTTTTAGAGCGTAGGGCAGGACAGGTAGAGCTATAATTGCTGAGAGGCTACAACCTCAGCAGTTGCATATGTGTTAGAAAATGAAAAGAAGAAATAGATTTGACTTGTTCTCTGTCAGGTGCTGCTATATGACTTCAGTACGCGAATGTGAAAGACTCACAGGATTAGCTAATCAAGGTCAAAGAGTATGTAAAACACAAGTTATATGTGAAGCCTTCAGCTTTCTGATTATGTGCGAAAAGAGGCTGATGAAGTTATTGAGTATGAGTGTGATAGTCTATGGCAGAAAAACAATTGAAAGGCGAAGGCGAGCGCGGTAACGATTTGTAAGAGATAAGGGGTGCGAGAATGGGAAACAGAAGTAGGGCTTGGCCTGGAGTCTTATCCGAAGCCAAAGTTTTGCTGATTGCTCATCAAACTGTGAAATAAAAGGGTTATGAAAAATTATTGGATGATGAAGTCCTATCCTGATTGGCGAAGGTGGTAAGGGGCAAGTGGCACACACTATCACGCGATTCTGGGATTGCTTACAAGGACAGGATACCAGGTCGCAGTGGCCATTCAAGATGAGATGTACACCGACGTTGGTAGTCTCGAACGCTGATCTCAAATCTAGGTTCCAAATCTGCAAAACGATCCTGGGAACAAAGTTACGGGCCTCCCTTCCCCAGGTGCCATGCCCCTTTGTTGCTTTTATACGAGAACCAACCGCTACTTAAACATGAAGAAATGGCGCAGTAGGGAGGAGAACGGAGTGGTGGTTCGGATCCTTGACGCATGCGCTTGTTTTGCTTCTTCATAAAAATGTCCTGAACTCTTGCAAAACCCTTTTGCACATCATATACGCTACCTAGAGCCCTCCCTCATATTTACGGAACGCAAGAAATAGTAATACAAGTATATTTTTTGTCGGCTCTACAGACCGAACAATGAGGGGTGCACATAGAACCCTTCTGCTCCCGGCACCTAAAGACAGGGCCAATACAACCCACATGATAAGCAAGGAACTTAGGCTTGATAAGGTTAGATCAAGCGCTGCATCAAGAGGTTTCGCTTCAAACCTACTTGTCGTCGACTCATGGAGTTCGTTAAGGGACCATGAGACTATTCAGATTGCTTTGCGAACTGGCAAGGAGTGAAAGTGCTCAACATTTAAATTCCCAAGTTGCACCTCTCGATGTATATTTTCCTTACTACTTAAAGCCACATATAAGTGTACTGGCTCTTCCGTAATTGTTCATGATCTAGACTTCCACGCTAGCAACCGCAGTTCCATTATTTGCATTATCCCACTAGTGTTGTGTTTAGCGCACCTAGATTCAAAGAGTCTTTCTTACTCATGGTTTGCATCAGGGTATCTAGATAGGGACCTGGGAGAATTTGTTTGCATCAGGGTATCTAGATAGGGACCTGGGAGAATTTGGAGTTCCTGGGGGTTATCCTCAACTAGACGGGAATCGTGAAAGAGTTATGGGTGGGGTGAATTTTCTTCTACGCATTGATCACATTGTGGGTAGCTTTTCTGCTCCAATAACTTTGTGTTAGATTATCATATCTATTCATAAAATGCTCACCTATTGTTTAGATTAAACTTGACATCCGAATTGCACCAGCTCACTTCTACCCATAGAGGGTATTACTTCGTCCAGAAGGCTTACGCCTAACGAGTCATCCGATAGCCCTCTTCTGGAAGTGTATGAAGCTGTTGTTTTTCTTGACACATCTTGAGTGCTGGGAGCAGAAGGTGCTATGTGCACCCCTCATTATTTGGTCTGTAGAGCCGACGAAAAAATATACTCGTATTACTATTTCTTGTGTTCCATAAATATGAGGGAGGACTGTAGGTAGTGTATATGATGTGCAAAAGGGTTTTGCAAGAGTTCAGGACATTTTTATGAAGAAGCAAAACAAGCGCATGCGTCAAGGATCCGAACCACCACTCCGTTCTCCTCCCTACTGCGCCATTTCTTCATGTTTAAGTAGCGGTTGGTTCTCGTATAAAAGCAACAAACGGGCATGGCATCTCGGGAAAGGGGGTCCGTAACTTTGTTCACAGAATCGTTTCGTAGATTTGGAACCCAGATTTGAAATCAGCGTTCAAAACTACCTACGTCGGTATACATCTCGTCTTGAATGGCCACTGCGACCTGGTATCCTTCCCTTGTTAGATCGGTCTTTGCTCAGGCCGACCTCGATTTACTGGGACCACGCTCGTCTGAGAGGATGAGACTGGATATCGTATATCGTCGCAAGACATTGAATATGAAAGTCAAACGCTGTGGGCATCCGACAAATGAGTTTAATTGAGGTAAAGAGACCTCATCTTCAGAGAAAGTGAATCCTGACATATGACGAAAGGCTGAATGGACACAGAACTAGTCGGAAACATAGCATTTCGTTTGCTGTTTTTCTAACTGTCGTCGCTATGAACTTTGTCTATACGTCTATACTTTGTGATCAAAAGGTGAAACAGTTTATGCTACTTATTGCGAAATTGTTATTAATGCTGTCTATTTGCTTATTTATTTTTGCTTATCGATTTAGACCTACTGCTTCCAAAAATATATCTTTGCTCAACGTCGGTAGGCAATGCTTCTGGAAGCTAACCGCAATTTTTTTTTGGTGGGGACCTGTGAGATGACAACAGAAGCTTACGTTAACATTTGTGAATGAGCCCATCCTTTGCTCTTTCAAGTCCCACTATGCCGCTAGAGGTCACCGTGGCGTTCAATTGAAAAGGAATTTCAACCTTTGTTTTCTGATACTCCCTTCAGCACAACCAACAGATGTACTGGTCCTTACTATTAAAGGCACAGGTCAGGAAACAGGTCAAGAAAAGGTGTTCCGGAGATTTGCATATAGTTTGAATTCGAAGCCCCTCATGATACCATTTGTGCAGGAATGAGGTCGCAATTCGTTAGAATAGGGCACAATTAGGGCAGGAACATTGGGGGACGTCAGGGCTCCGCCCCTCGCTAGGCTGACTACGCGTTCGAATTTTCTTTCACCGCTTTCGCACTGGAGCGAAGTTGGTGGAAAATCGATACGCTGATTGGCAAATTGCCAGGAATGGTCAGCTGGTCGACCGCCTCGTACAGAAGCTAGTATTCGGCTGTTATTCCTAGTATTCTGCTATTATTCTGCGCTAATATATTCTAAATATTCTCTGCCTGTCGTCCCAAATGACCCCAAATGAAGAAAATCCATTGCAAATAAAAAAAAATTGGAATCCTAGCATGCACTTAATAAAACAACGCACTATATGAAAACTTAGGTACATTTAATCGTAAACTAATCAATATAAGGGAATTTACTCACCTTTCTGTGCAGAACAACTGAATAATCATAAAAGTACAGCAAAATATCAGCAGGGGAATAAATAGATTCAAGTATGTAGTCTAAATCAGCTGGTTGGGTGTTTTGTGTGCCATTGCACACATGGCGTCGCATTCCCGTACTTCCGCGAAATTTCACTTAACCACCGTTTCCCCGTTATGAAACTCGTCTTGCCACTCTTTCCTCTTTTTTTT